TCCCAGATTGTGAACTTTAATATTCATGACAATTCTCACTATTAGCTATGACTTTTCCCTCAGTAAACTAATTTGCTGCTTATTAATAGTTAGTAAGGTAGTTGTTAAGTTTAGGTATGAGGTGGATTAAGGGAGCTAAAATATGGTCATGCAGAATAAGGCATTATTATGTGCTTTAAAAGTAATAAACAACCAATGTGCTAGTAATATGCATGCTAATATAAGCATCTAGTTAATAGAGAGAATTGGTCCCTTAACTAAAGTGTTAGCAGGTTTTTCAATGAAAATGTAAATGTAATGCTAAAATGAGCCTTGTGACAGAATCACCTACTAGCCTTGAATGTGTAAAGCATCTTGCCAATCTTTTAACTTCACTGTTATGGTGATGTTCACTGAAGAACTGGGTGTTAAATTCATAATACAGGATGTGGTTTTGGTCATTCGGACAAAATGCATCATGAATTCATTGGGCAAAGAGGAAATGGAATAGCGTACAGATATTGTAAATATTGGGTTGATGCTTTCTCTTGCAAACAAGTCAAGCAGGGCAAAAGCGATTTTATCAAACCCTAAAAGATACGCTGGCTTTCTACACAGTCAACAACAGCTATAATCATGTAATGCAGCATTTATAACTGTTTAAAACTGATAATAACAGAATCGTACTTGAAAACTGAAAACTAATAATAGCTGATAATAATTGTGACTAACTTCATTCAAAAGCCTGAATATGCATCTTTTTACAAACAAATGACACTCACGGTCATTATAACAAGCTCAAATTTGCATTGATTTGACTGTAATGAATACAACAGGGCTTTTGAGACCACCGATTGCTTCAGACTTAAATAGCTTCCATGCAATTAACACAGGCTTTTTAAAAACATGCTCCATCTTCATTTTGAAACCAAAACAAGAATTTTCAGTAAATATATGCAAAGTTGCACTTAAATGATATTAATGCACTATGATGAGACAAAATGACATGTTGATGGCATATATCAGAAGAAAGATATTGAAATGAGGCACTAAAAAACCCTTCCTAAATATATAGTTGTTGATCACAGGCTCTGAAAGTCCATTTTCAGGTCATCTAAAGATTAACTAAGCATGATCCAAACACCCTGCCCTGTCTTTGCAATGCTTTTAACTTTAGTGGGTGTGTTATATATGACACCCAAAACATGTTGACTAATCGTGATTTTCTGTGTATATAAACCAAACTAAACACACAAGAAATGCACCTATAAACACTCTGACACATGTCATTATGTATTCAAATATTACGTTTTCCAGCATCACAACATTGCATGAATCTGATCTGCTGTGACCCGCTTTACGAAACATGCACACAAATCCGGTCATCTATTGATATTTTCTGTTCATATAGACACTTGCCAACATAAAAGTGCATAAAATGAACACGTTTCCATGTGTCATAACACATTACCATCACAACACTGAATGCACGAGTTTTGTTTTGACCTCCTTCAGCATAACATGCGCAAGTTAACGCTCATGTTGCATGCACAGAAAAGCATGCAGGCAAACAAATGCATTAGTGATTGATAAATACTGCAGCTTTATTTAGGTTTGCTGTACGTTACCTCGGAACACAGCTCGGAGATGAGCGGTCAATCTCCCACGTTGGCAGCAGCGGCGGCGGGTGCGGGAGCGGGTGCACCGACACTCGGGTTCATGAAGGCGGCTCGGACCCCTCCTCTCTCCACAGCCGCGGCCATCACCGAACCGACGCTCAAGCTGGACTGCGATGGTCGAGGACCTCACTTCTCATGCACACGGTCTGGACGGCTTTCTGCTGCTGCTCATCTCTCACATACACAGATTTGCGATGGTCAGAGGCGGAGCTTCGCTTCAGAAGAAAATGTGGAGCAGATGCGATCTGCGGTCGGCCGAGAGGCGGCGCTAAATCACGGGCTCCGTTTCCAGTTCAGCCGGCCACTCGCTAACGAGTCGTTCTTCTGAGTGATTCAATCGAACTGATTCGCGAACCGTTCGGAAATAACTGTGCTGTTTATAAGAGAGAACATCTGTTTAGGAATAAACCTGTAAGGGCAGTCACGTGCTTGAAATGTACAACGCAACATTTGACAATATAATATAAAAAAAAATATGACGCTGTAACATTTATAGGGAAAAAACACAAATTGGAAAACATACATTTGCATACATTCTGAAAAACATACAACATTCTAATTTCTAAAAGTTGAAACATAATGCTAAAAAAAAAGTGTAATGTAACCTAGGGTTGGGTACCGAAACCCGGTACCAATATGACACCTGGTAGGAGGGGACGTTCTCGCAACCTTGTGCAACGTTCCCTAAAAGTTCTCTAAAGGTGACAAAAGTCCCGAACCTTTACAGAACATTAGGGACGTTCCTAAAACGTCCTCTTTTGGTTGTGAAAGTGCTGGTGCTCAATGTTCCTTATGTGCCTTTTTTTGACTCTTTTAGTCATATAATAACGTTCCAGATATGACTTTGGGAGGACGTTCGATTTTGGTTATTTTTTTGGTCACATGAGAACGTTACAAAAAGGACATTTGGGACGTTAACAGAACATTCTGACATGGTCCTCTTTTAAACACATAATAACGTTCCAGATATGACTTTAGGAGGACGTTCTGTATTGGTTATTCTATGGTCACATACAGTAGCAACGTTACAAAGAGGACGTTTGCAACATTAACAGAACGTTCCCATCTGGTCCTTTTTTAATATATAATAACGTTCCCAATATGACTTTAGGAGGACGTTCTGTATTGGTTATTCTATGGTCACATAGCAACATTACAAAGAG